CAAATATGATAGATGGTATTTCACGACTTTTTCATGTTGCATTGATTAGTTCATGCCTTGCTTTTAAGGTTGCCTTCTCATTGAATTATTTTACGAGTCTAATCCTTTGTGTTTCCTTTTCAACTGGTAATCAAGCCCCCTACATGTCAACTAAGATGGCCGGCATTCAACTGTCATCTGAAATGTTGGACCATTGGTAAGCCGTCTTGTCTCTGAATGAGGAAGTTTAAAAAAATTACATAACAAGATTCAATAATAATAATACTAACAACACACCATGATGGAGAGTTATGCAATGAATAGTCAAGACAATCCATTCTACTCTATCATTGATGACCCAACGTATACAATTCATCAAGCATTGACATACAGTAATGACAGCAAAATTATCAACAGGTTTACAGGTGCATTGGTTGTCTACTCGATAACTCTACCTCCTTTTTTGGTTCTAGGTTTTGTAGTTGCTATTTTATTAATTATTAGATGGAGAACAATGGTTTTCATCAAGAGATGTCTTTATGGGCTAGTGGTGCTCATGTCATGTTTACAAATTTTATCAATAACTTCAGGTATCATGTATTCAGTTTGTGTTCTGATAGGTAATCAAAAGGAATGCATGGATCCTTTTGCTGCTATTCAATATTCATGTGGTAATCTGACTGTCATTCTATGTGTCTTTTGCTTCTTGACAATTACAAGGATTCTGTATAAGGTTTACTTTGATAAGTCACAGTGGTGGATGAGAGTTGTTGAAAATCAACAGGAAAGTTTAGGGAAAACCGTCCCAAAGAAGATTGCCATTAGGAATCAACGATTTGGCAAGTTTGTTAAATGGACAGCTATCATTAGTGCTATTGGACTTTTAATTATTGCCCCTCTTCACATTGCTACTATCATGATCACATCTTTGACTTCATTGATGCCAGGTGTCAAGGCTGCAACAGCTTCCAGTATTGGTTACAATCGTTACTATGCTGATGCAGTATTAGCTCTTGGCTATTGGTTTTTAATCTTCTTCTTTGGAATTATTAATATTGTGGTTGGTGTTTCACTCACTGGAAAATTAGGAGGTGAACAAGAAAATGTTCCACTCCAAAGAAGAAAGGCATGCAGACAATTGAATTTGTTGAACGCATTACAATTGGTGTTGGAGGAATAC